AGGGAAGCGTGGGCAAATGGGAAGGGCTGGGGATGATGGGACTGCGTGCGCCGTCGTGGGAGGGAAGGGTGGGCAAATGGCAAGGGCTGGGGCTGATGGGACTGCGTGCACCGTCGTGGGAGGGAAGCGTGGGCAAATGGGAAGGGCTGGGGCTGAAGGGACTGCGTGCGCCGTCGTGGGAGGGAAGCGTGGGCAAATGGGAAGGGCTGGGGCTGATGGGACTGCGTGCGCCGTCGTGGGAGGGAAGCGTGGGCAAATGGCAAGGGCTGGGGCTGATGGGACTGCGTGCGCCGTTGTGGGAGGGAAGTGCTGGCCTTGCTGTTTGCCTGTGTGCCCCCCCCACCCCTGGCAATGGCAGAAGCTGCTCCGACCTTGCTCGTCCTCTTTCGTTTGAGTTGCAAGTCAAGCTGTGTTTGTGAAGCCCCCTTGAGGCACCCCTCCTTCCCTCCCTCATCCCCCCCAACATACTCTTGCCTGACTATCCCCCCCCCCAAGTGGCTCCAGTGGCTGCTACTCCTGCTGCCACTCCTCCTCCTTTTGAGTCTTGATCCCTGAGTGAGCAGCTGGGGCTGCTCTGCAGCTTTTGGGGCCTTGCAGCTCTGTCGCCAGAATCGGAAGGAGGAAGAGTGGCAGCAGGAGTAGCAGCCACTGGTGCCACTTGGGGGGGGGGCAGCCAGGCAAGAGTATGTTGGGGGGATGAGGGAGGGAGGAAGGGGTGCCTCAAGGAGGCTTCACAAACAACTGAGACGAAAGAGGAAGAGCAAGGTCGGAGCAGCTTCTGCCATTGCCAAGGGTGGACTGGGGGGGGGGGTGCTCAGGCAAACAGCAAGGGCAGCGTGAAGCGCGGGTAAATGGCAAGGGCTGGGGGTGATGGGACTGCGTGCGCCGTCGTGGGAGGGAAGCGTGGGCAAATGGGAAGGGCTGGGGCTGATGGAACTGCGTGCGCCGTCGGAGGGAAGCGTGGGTAAATGGGAAGGGCTGGGGCTGATGGGACTGCGTGCGCCATCGAGGGAGGGAAGGGTGGGGAAATGGGAAGGGCTGGGGCTGATGGGACTGCGTGCGCCGTCGTGAGAGGGAAGCGTGGGCAAATGGGAAGGGCTGGGGCTGATGGGACTGCGTGCGCCGTCGTGGGAGGGAAGCGTGGGCAAATGGGAAGGGCTGGGGCTGATGGGACTGCGTGCGCCGTCGTGGGAGGGAAGTGCTGGCCTTGCTGTTTGCCTGTGTGCCCCCCCCCACCCCACCCCTGGCAATGGCAGAAGCTGCTGCGACCTTGCTCGTCCTCTTTCCTTTGAGTTGTGAGTCAAGCTGTGTTTGTGAAGCCCCCTTGAGGCACCCCTCCTTCCCTCCCTCATCCCCCCCAACATACTCTTGCCTGACTATCCCCCCCCCAAGTGGCACTAGTGGCTGCTACTCCTGCTGCCACTCCTCCTCCTTCCGATTCTGCGACAGAGCTGCAAGGACCCAAAACCTGCAGAGCAGCTTTAAAAGAATCTTGCCTCACAGCTGCCCCCCCCAGCCCCTGTGATTGCCCCTCCCATTGGCTGTGGAGAATGGCTGGGGGGGGCAGCGGAGGAGGAAAGCTGGCTGTAAATGGGCTGAGGTGAGTGGCAGGGGGCGAAGGACGCGTGGGCAAGGGTTCAGGCCTAAACATCCCATTCCTTCCTGATGGGGGCCTTTCAGTCCCTGAGTTACCACTCTGTGACCCTCACCCTGAATGAGAAGGCGGCCGTCAGCCCCCAGGCCCCTTCCGTCCCTGAGCAGACACTCTGTGAGGCTCACACTGGGAGGGGGACCCTTTTGGTCCCTGAGTGAGCAGCCGGGGCGAATCACACGGGAGGAGCAAACAGCGCTCAACTACAAGCCTCCTCCGATGCCTGAGGATCCCCAGCAGAGTCTCAAACTGGAAGGGAATCCTTTTGGATCGCTTTCCTCCCACCTTCATACCCTGAGAAATAATGTCAGCTGCAGCCAGATCTCTTGGCACCAAAGTAAACCTGGTGACGCACTTTAATACGACGTATTAATAACTAGTTTTTTGCTAGCGTGAGACATTATGTCCTCGAACTGGAAAATAAATCTGTGTGACCCTTTTAAATTCTAGATGTGGCCATTGAAATCCTGAGTAGATTTCTTGCCTGGCTTAATTTAGGCACGATGTTGGTTCTAAGAACCAGAAAACATCTCAATGGCCCTTTTTAATGCTGGGGGTGCCGGTCATTAATAATAGATTTTATAGTTTTCTGTCTGGCGTAAATTTATGTACAGCATAAATTCTCAGAACCAGAAAGAAAACCTCAACAGCTCTTTTTAATGTCTTGCGTGGCCAGTGATTGATAAAAGATTTCTATTTGGAATAATTTTATCCTTTGCTGTTGTTTAAAATGTGTAAGTTCTGTGTTGACTGATAAATGTTAATCATGACACACAGTATGTGGCGGTCACCTCAAGAATTTTGATTCCTTTTGTCATACACATTTGTCTTTTTGTTCCTGAAATATCTCTAAATGGGATTCAGCTGGGTAACATTCTGTTTGACGTGTATTTTTTGTAATACAATTGAGTTTTACTCCAGATTTACTGTTAAGTAGTTGTGATGCTTATGGTATCTTGTCTTTGCTTGTTTTTATGTATCCTTTCTTAAATCACCATCTCTTCACCAAGAGATAATCTGTTGTGATATTCATGTATCTGAACACTGAAGTTGTGTTTTCTTTCGATGTCAACTGTGGTTACTTTTGCACCTTACCTTTTTATCAAAAATGTCATTTTAAATTAGTGAACCATTTAACCCATCATGGTATTGTCTGGTTGCTTTTTGCAATTTTTATGATTATGTGACTTTTTATCATCCTTAAAATATTGGATGATGCTTTTATGTATTGTATCTTTAGAACTGTATTATGATTTGAATTGTACAAACTGCTGCAGCTGGGCTATGCTTGGAAGATGTGACACTTATTGTGTTAAAAAAGCAAAATATTTGAAACCACTTCCAAGGCTTCCTTGACTATATTTGTGATCCTGAGTCAGCAGCTTGAACCTGTTGGGCACCGTGTGCTCCTGCTCTTTGCCGAAGTCACTGTAAAGTGGGAAAGAAATAGAATAACATAAAATAAAGAAGAATAAAGTAAAATAATAATAATGAAAAATTACTAAAAGCAAAAATCATGTGTCTGCATAATCTCTGAAAGAAAGCTGTGTTAGCAAAAGCTGTATTAACAGTATGTGAATGACCTAATGCATATTTAGAAACATTGTATAAAAATAAAAACTGCCTTCATTGTATTCCACGAGAAATGGAGCTAACGTGTGAGAAACTATCTGAATGTTACACAAAGTAGATTCCATATACAATGTAAGATTCCATCTATGCTTCCTTTGTTCCTGAGAAAAAGAAACCTATAAAGCTTTAGTTTAGACCTTCCCCCTTGTTCAGAAATTTGTTGATTGTTAAATCACTTCTGAACCTTTTGCGCAAAAATAAAGATCTCTCTTTCACCCATGGAATTTCGTAAAAGTCCTTATATTTTTTTAAGGCTTTATTTTTCCACAAGAACTGAGGATCTTCTTTTCCAAGGATTTAAGGTTTGGTGGTGTATTCAGAAATGTCCCGTTCTATCAAAATAAACCTCCAATGAAATTCTTTTTCCACTTTTCATTTTCATAAAAGCTTTCAATCTATATCTGTTTGTCTGTCTGTCTGTCTATCTTCTATCCATCGATCTGTCAGTATCTATTATTTATCTATCCATCTATCCGTCGATCTATCCATCTATCTATCCGTCTAGCCTATCTACCTATCTACCTATTATCTATTTATCTACCAGCTATCTTTCTATCTATAATCCATCCATCCATTTATCTATCTTCTATCTATCTACCATCTATCTATCTACCTATTATGTATCTATCCATCAGTCCATCGATCTGACCATCTATCTGTCTATATATCATCCATCCATTTATCTTCTATCTACCATCTATCTACCTATTTATTATTTATCTATCCATCAATCCGTCGATCTGACCATCTATCCGTCTAGCCTATCTATCATCTAGCTATCTATCTACCTTTCTATAATCCATCCATCCATTTATCTTCTATCTACCATCTATCTACCTATCTATTATCTATCAATCATCTATTGTCTATCTCTTCTATTTATCTATTATCTATCTTCTATCCATTGATCCATCTGTGTCTGTCTATCATCTATCTCTTCTATTATCTATCTATTTATCTTCTATCCATCGATCCATCGTCTATCAGAAGTTATTAGTTGGAATCTTTTTCCAAGATGTCAGAGCAGTTGAAAAGCAACTTGAAATTTGCACGCTGTAGCAGATTGACTCAGGGTTATAATTAAGATGCACATACGTCTGAATTCTACCGGGGGCAACTCAAGTCTGGGCTGCATTGCAAAACTCCAAATCACGCCTAGAGGGCAATCAACAGCCGTTTTCTGAATCTCTCTAGTCCCCTCTAGCGGCCGCCTGTATTTTTATAGCCCTTCCTAACTCATCCCCAACTCTCTTTATGCGTTCGTGCTACCCAGCCTATCAGCTCCGCTGTAACAGCTTCAGCAGCGAAAGTGAGACGCTGCCTTTCATTTAAACCCAGGCAGCTGATTGGCGGAACCAAAACTCGGTAGGAGCGGCCTTGAGTTAAAGGGCGGGGTCAAACTTCAAATGGATCCTCCTTCTCCAAGCGTGACCAAAGGCTGTAAGTAAGAGAATACCGACCAATTACATGGCTGGACCTGGCTTAACTATGACGTCACTGCCACCTGTCCGCTTGGATTGGTGCCCGGTGGAAGACAGGGAGGAGTCACCGCGCGGTTGAAGCGGAAGTGGCGCGAGGTTTTAAAACGACGGTTGGGGAGAGAGAGAGAGAGCGAGAGAGAGAGAGAGAGAGAGAGAGAGAAAGAAGCGAAGCGGGGGTGAGGAAAGAGGCGTGAGTGGGGGGGACCGGTTGCCATGGCAGCGGCGTCAGAGGTCAAGCGGTACCGGTGCCAAATCTCGCGGGAGGAGGGGTTGACATGGTAACGGTTGACTCCGAGTCCGAATCCTAGGCAGGACGGGGAAGCCGCGGGACGAAAGTCGGCCTCTGGGATGGCGTGAACCCGATCTTTCCTGCGGGGGCTGTTGTGGACAGGTGGGAAGGTTCCCCGCGGGCTGCGCAGGCAGCTTATGGGCCCGGGACCGGAACGAGGGAGCTTCCCAGTGGGTTCTCCGGGCGGCGGGTGCAGCCCGGTGATGGCGACCCTCCCACCGCCTCGCAGAAATCTCCCTCGGTATACAAAAGGTTGGGAAGAAAGCATATTTAGGAGCTTTGGAGGGTGGCATGGGGCCAGAAGGAGGTAACTGGAGAAATAGGGGATAGGATAGAATATAGGGAAGGGAATAGAATAAGGAATAGAATAGGGAATAGAATAGAATAGAATAGAATAGAATAGAATAGAATAGAATAGAATAGAATAGAATAGAATAGAACAGAAAATATGGAGTGGAATAGAATAGAACAGAATAGAAAATATGGAATAGAATAGAAAATATGGAATAGAATAGAAAATATGGAATAGAATAGAATATGGAATGGGGAATAGAATAGAATCTTGTTACTTTAAATGTATATTAATCAGCATACATTAAAATGAGGTGTCTGTTGTCTACAACTCTCACAAGGTACCCACCTCCAATATGCACTGCATAAATATGACAAAAATAATAATTATGCATATACCCCCATATATTCTATGACACAGAAATAACACAATCCAGTTCGGATGTATGGGGAGAAAAATGAATCTTGCAAGTTTCCCAGAGGGATGGCATAGGGAACAAAGCTATTACAGAATCCTGCTGGAAATACTTTGAAACCTCCTCCCAGAGGGGAGCAACAATGCAGCCCCAATGCAGTGTTTTCATGTGATGCCTGCACTTGCTTGTGTTCTTACCTGGCTGCCTCTATTTATATACTGTGCCCCATCTTTTAATAACGTTCCTTGCAGAAAATGGCACTGTTAATGCTGAGAATTGTTCAGATGTTTATTGTTTACAGGTGTGTGGACAGGCCTGCAGACATTCAAGCAAATGAGCAGTGCATCTATGTAATTTTTAAATGTTACGTCCCACCTTTTTGCCATAGAGCACAACATGGGGAAAGGGTATACTGTGCATACATATCCCCCCCCAAAAAAAAAACAAAGAAAAGAATTCTATTTACCTCTGTTCCATAAGGCCCATGGTCTTTAAATCTCTGGTGATACCTTCTTTTCACCCCCCCCCCCCACTTTTTTTCTCCCAGCCAGTTAGGAAGACCTAATTCTATTTTAATTAAAGTTTTAAGGGGATTTCACATAATGAGATAGACTTTACTGATAGATGATGCTGGCACATAAATAGAGCTAGGGTTTTTTTCCCCCTTATAATCTAATGCTTGTTGAACATAATCGTATCTTTCCACAGGAAACCCTAGCCTTACTGCTGTCTTGTTGCTAAGATGGTACCTCCCAAGAAGGGGCTGCAACAACATGGTCCCCAGAAAATTGCACAGACTAAATTGAGGCCTCCATCAGCCAACTGGAATGTATTAGCAGGAAGAACTCAGTGTATAGCACCTGTTGGGGCCTGGGTAGAGAGCGCCCAAGATGATGGAGAAGAGAGCCCAGCTTTTGTGAGTATTACGTATCAAGTTACCTAAATCAATATCAAAAATTCAGACTATTAAACCATCTGGTTCACTTTCTACTCCAACTGGCAGTGGTTCAATGAAATCTCATATTTCTCAGGTTTTGGAGATGGAATCTAAAACTTCTTCAAGCTGTACCGTAGTTATCTAACAACTATTTCTGTTCAGAGGGATTCTGTAATGGCAATATACTTTTGAATAGTAAACATCAAAACAACTTTATAGTTTTTAGGCTGTGATTTACTCCTTTCCTTTTAATTAAGCTAAATGGAGTATGTAGCCCTGCAATTGCTGTTAGACTCCAATTCCTGTCATCTCTGATAATAGGCCATTCTGGTTAAGTCCCAGAGATACTGGAATCTAACATCTGGAAGGCCACTGATTGGTGTTATGTTTAAATTACAATCCTTATCATCGATTTGGGTTAATGGTACAAATCAAAAGTGTATAGTGTGTGTCTTCAGTATTAATAGGACCTACCTATTACAAAGTGATCCTAAGAATGCTTTCATAAAGACAAGATTGTTGTATTAGCAAAACTAGTAAACAGTAACAACTAACGTGATACTGTTTTGAAGTCTGGTTCCCTTGTTTATCTGTTTTAATGCTAATTATTTCTATAGGCCACAGCTATTCAGGTTGAAAAAGTATACAAAGAACAACAAAAAGAAAAAGAAAAAACATTGAAACGCTTTCAGCAGGAAGTAAAACACAGGGTGAACCAACGTGTTAATCTAAAGAGGAAACAACAGTTGAAGACCTCTTACGAAGCTGTAAGGTTCTATTTCTGTGAAATATGTCTGTGAATTTCTTCTTGAAAACTAAATTTCTCTGGCATAAAAAGGCATCAGTTTAGTTTGGGGAGTACTGTTGTTGTAATTGGTCTGTTTATTTTCTTACCATAAATGTAATTATTTTAACATAAATAACAAAAGTGTTGGGTAGTCTTGATTTTTGAATTTTAAAAGATCTACACCACTCCTTAGTTCCCCAGGCTACTTAATTACATATTTCAACTGATGCTTGAGATTATTTTAATTCATATTTACTGCAATTTAATTCTCAGATAGCTGTTTCCCAAATAGTTAAGAAAACTATTTACTAGAATCTATTTGTCAATAAAATATTTCAAAGATTATTTTTAATCATATGTATCTGCTGCAGTTTAAAACTGTTGATCTCTTTTTACAGTATTTTTTTGCTTTTCAATTATTTGATACCTGCTTCTTTCTCATTGTCATTTTAAGTTTGTATGCAGCTCACTCTCACACTTTTTTTCTCCTTTGATAGGCCCTGAAAGAAAGCTCTGTTATTATAGGGTTTTCAGATTCTGCGTTGCGGCTGACCCCTAAGAAAAATACATGCCTCTACAGATATACCAGGGATTCTGCCATTGGCAATTCTAATGACAAAGTCGCCTATCTACAACAAGCTGATTATGAACCGGAGCAGTTCTCAGAGCTAGCCAAAACTGTAAATGTTTTTTTCTGTTTTCAGTTCTCTGACTTAATACTTTAATTAAGTATTAATACATTAATACACTTAATGACAAGTAAACCCAGTTTATAATGCATACTGTCTGCTTCCTTGTATAAATCTCTTCTTTCAGGTAAGGAAAACGGTGCAACAGGTCCGTCACAAACTGGCTTCTCGAAAAGCTATTCCAGAAGGAAATGTTTCAGAACATCCAGGAGATGCTCGTCAGAATCCTCCAAAAAGACAGGTCACTAGTACAGATATGCTTATAATGTCCTGCATGCTAAGAACTGTAGTACTTATTTGGCTGTAGAGCGGGGAATAAAATTTCCATTTACTAAGTTTTCCTTAGAATAGTAACTCAAGGCATGGCAGGAAAATTGGACATTTAGGCAACTGCAAGCCCTGGTTACCACACTGAAGCTTCCGTCTACTTTTGAACAGCAATAGCACTTAGACTTAGATAGCGTTTCACAGTGCTTTACAGCCCTCTCTAAGCGGTTTACAGAGTCAGCCTATTGCCCCTAACAATCTGGGTCCTCATTTTACCAAACTCAGAAGGATGAAAGGCTGCGTCAACCTTGAGCCGGTCAGGATCAAACTCCTGGCATTGGGTGGAGTTAGCCTAGAATACTGCATTCTAACCACTGTGCCATCACAGCTCCAAGAAATAGGAGTAGATATCCTGGTTGAAAATTCTGGCAAATGCAGTTGCAAATCAACTGCAAGTTATTAGGTTAGAGAAGGATCTTCCTTGCACCAAAATACTATGCAATCTTGGAGGGACACATCTCCACGTGGATTTGCAGAAAACTCAGTGAACAGAGGTCTGTCATTCGATTTGACACCTGACTTCCTTTCATGTTGCTCAAACCTAGACAGGATTCAAATGAGGTCCTTACTGAATCTGAGTGTTTGTTTAGATATATATACAAACTGCTTTTTAGTATTCTTTCATGAAGCTGAGTTAGCATCCTTTTCATGTGCCAAGCATTATTTATAATTACCTGGCTACCTCCAACTTTAAAAGAAGTGTGTCCAGGAACACACAGGCTCTTCGCTGTTCTTGCTAGATGTGTCTATCTTGTAGTTTGTTCTATATTTTTTATAATTTTTGAAGACCGCAGTTGCAGTTTAGGGTTATTGATGGCAGCCAGCTTGTATATGAATTTATACAAAACCTTTGGATAGAATGTCTGGTTTTTTTTTAGAACTCAGAACCTTGCAACACAACTGCTCTAAGCCCAGAAGAGGGTGATATGGGAGAACTTCCTCTGAAGGGACACCATGATCTTCCAGCAGAACTTCAAGAACAAGAGGGAAGGAATTGGGACAACACAGAATTTCAAAAAGTAAGACTTCTCAACTATGTAACTTGTAGGGAAAATGAAAAAAAGATAACAAGGGCACATCACATATATGGTATTGCCTTAAGCTGCCTTGAGGCAAGATTACACGAGAAATCAAAGACATGTGCAAGCAGCAATAGCAACAGCAGACTTATATACCGCTTCACAGTGCTTTACTTGTAACTAACATCTAGTTCAACTTAACCATCTGCTAGGGTTTTACATTTGGTAGTCCCAAGAAAATGGGTATTCTCTGCCATGTCATCTGCCTTATGCAACATTCTCTCTCCCTCCCCTCCCACAAAGTTAACTCCATCCCTGTTAGAAGTCGCTCAAGACCTGGTTATGTCACTAGGCTTGGGAGTCCCAGGGAGCCAGTAGCATTCTAAGATGGCTCCGCATTGGGCTACAGTCTAGAGATTGAGGATTTGGTACAATACTGTATAGCTGCTCATCAAAACCAAAAAAAACACCTATTTTCATATTAATATATTAATAATAGTAAGAGGATGTGGGGTATCTTATTCGTCCCTTGATAGTGTGGGTATGTTAAAGTTTGCACTGTTGCATAACGTGCAAGAAACATCTTGGAAAAAAAATGAAGAAAAATCTATCCAGGTTTCAGCGGAGCCTTTTATGATCACATGCATGACTGTTTCTGAGGCTTACTCTCTTGGTTTGTTTTCTTTTTTCCAGGTAAATAATGAGGCCTTGAAAGGTAATGATCCAGCTGATACTGAGGCTCAGGCTGTTCATATATTCTGGCCTGGAATGGAGGAGGAACAATCGAAGAAGCAGGTATATAGTCTTACATGAATTTACCTTATTCAATATTATGATAACTGAAAGGGAGATTCCTTTGATCAGGTACCTAATTATGCATCTCATTCCTGATCGCTGAGTAAAGATTAGAATTAATGTTTCTATCCATAGGTGGCAGCACTAGGCAGCTTGGCCCTATCCTAGATGTTACCAAAATCAGTATAAGTCAACTTGGATAGGCTGTCTAAGAATTCCAAGGCTGATAGTAAGGCTGGATAATGAAAATTTAATATATATCTTTGAAAATGGCAGTGACAAACTTTGTGTAACAGTGCCAAGATTTCCTGTGTGCAGTTGCTAGGAGCAAATTTGTGGGTGTCTTTATTTAATTGTGGTCTAATTACTAGCCGGCAGAATGAATTCTAACTGAAGAGATCTATTTGGTGAACTTCTCCAATAAATTATAAGGATACCGTATAACCTTGTAATATGTATATCAATGAAACTCCTTAATTATTGAATGCTAAAAAGAGGAAGCACTAGAATTTTTAAACTGTAAGATAACACAGAGATAGCTAATGTCCCAATTCATGCATGTGTGTGAACAGGTATGTGAAAAACAAATCCAAACAATATCAGGATAGACAATTTTTATTTTTCAAAAATAGGCTAAAGTTAACTTCTAGATTTTCTATCTCTTATGTGGAATGCCCAGGTACCTTGGTTGGAGGGAAAAAGACATTAAATTTTACACTTTTTGTGTTAATAAAGCTAGAGATAAATTGTATATTATGTGCTGAGTTTAATGATACATTTGAGAAACCTTACAAAAATTTAAAAACATAGTTCCTGCCCACTGACTTGCAATCTAATAGGATTCAGATGAGATTCTAAGGAAAGGAAAAATATACTGGTTCATCATGCATTAATTCTTCATCTAATTATTTCATGAGAATATATACTGTAAATGTAACCACTGAGAACACAAACAAATGGCAGGTGGTCCAGGTGAAATCACTGATCTGGGCCTTGCTGTATTTATATGCCTTTGCTGTCATCAGGAAGAAGAATGAAGTCAAAATTTTCTCAATGGTATATGGAATAGCACGATCCAGCATTAGAATCAAACTAAAACTCTTTCTTTTTTTTTCTGTAGCACCAAAGCCAGTATCTGAGGTATAGGCGCCTCTTCATGGATATCGAAAGAGAACAAGTGAAGGAACAGCAAAGACAGAAGGAATGGCAGAGGAAAATGGACAGGTACACATTCAGTAGATGACCGTTCTTTTTTGGCTATAATTTCTGGAATGTAAAAAATGATGGTTAATGTACCTTTGCATAAGTAGGTAACGGATGAAGGGCTTCTGATTTTAATTAAAGTTCTCTACTTAATAGAAATGTTATTTGAGAACATTTTCTCCTTGTGGTCAGCCTTTCCAATTCAGCAGTCTTAGTACTTTTTTTTTTCTTTTTTCTTAGCATATTTGGGGAGATAAAATGAATCGTTTCAACTTGTGCTATGAAAGTAAAGATGCAAATAATATCACTCTATACTTTTGAAAGAAAAATCAGTCTAAGGAACTACTGGGTGTTAGCCACTCATTTTTGGTTTCTAAAAATGTCTTTATGGAGCTCAAAAATAAAGACCAGAGTGTCATTCTACTGTTCAGCACACCGGCTTCACATTTCATTCCTTTTAGTGGCCAGGAGAGTATCAGAAATAACTGACAGCTGGCAATACATCTGTTCTGACCTATAGCTTTCCCTTTCCTGTCATAGTTATGGGGCCTTGGTGCAATAGTATCTCATTTGAACTACACTAAAATGAAATTTAAAAAAAAAATGGGGCCAAGCTATGCCATTGTCATTTTTTTAAAGCACATCTGGACTCCAGAGGAAATTTCTTTTATCGAATATAGTTTAAAAAATAAAGTGGTAAAAGAATCTTAGGTCACCTGAGCAAGTTGTACATTGAAGCAGAGGTTCACTTTCTCATAATACCTGAGGAGTCTTCTCTTATGATAAATTCCTTCTTGGCAGAGCCTTTTTATATAGGAGAGAATTCTGCCCTTTATTGTGAGTATACGGTTAACTTGCCCTTGCTCCCATAGCATTTTACCAGTGAAAACTTTACAATGATGCAGTAAAGTCTGGACAAATATTGAGTTTTAAAGAGATTGCCTAAGGGGGAGAAACAGCAGAGTTAAACAGCTACATTTTCTTAAGCAGTGTGGTTTTCTAAAACAAATATTTTTCCTTTAAATTCTTGTGTTTTTCCATCGATTTGAAGAGCTTTTGATTTACTAAGCTGGCAGCAGCTACGCAATTACCTTCTGATGATTTGGGCTGAAGGTCGATTTCACCCACCATTCTGTTTCATGCAGTGACTAACCAGATCCCTCTAGGACGTCAAGAAATTGCATAAAAGCAATAACTTGCTTGTGCCCGATTGACTAATATTTGGGAATATCTTTCTTCTGAATATGGCTATTTTCATTAATTGTGTGACTATATACTGTGAGAGACACATCCTTCATGAATTTGACTGAACTTTTATGGTTTTATAATGAAAGCCCTACGTTGTACCATTCCTGTATACAGAATGCTCTAGCTGGAATACTCTTTTTGTCAGGGTTTATCATTAGAAGCTCTTTCTTTCTCCACAAGTTTTATTTTCATGGTCCCCTAGCTGCTCTTTTACATTTGCTATTTGGAGATTTGTTTTGTTTTGTTTTGTTCTAATGTATAGCTGGTTAGAAGCCAAACATTTGTAGGTAAGGGGGGGGGGGAGTTGTAATGTGAAATACACAATCAAGTATACCATACAGAAAAATGCTAAATAAAGATACAAAGCTGATTGCTACGTTTTCAATCTTTGCTGAAACTAAAGTAGCAGTAATATCTTTTAACCAGCTTTTTTAATCTTCTCTTTATTTCATATAGAAATTTGACAGCTAAATAGAATGGACAGTTGTGTTCCTCTAACTTTTGATTCTGTACTCCAATAACTAACGTAGAATGATTGGAAATTTTATCTGCCACAGAATTAGGAAAGAAAAGGAGTATCGGCGCCGTGCAGAGGAACAGAGGATACAGGAAGCACAGCGAGCAAAGGAGAAAAGGACACAGGAGATGGCTTCACAAAAAAATGCTAAGCCCAGGGGAAAAACATGTGAAAAACTACAACAATTGAAATTGGAAGACCCAGAAGAAAAGAAAAAACTAGTGGAAAGAGTACAAAAAAATAAAGAATATTCTAGGTGAGTTAAAGTATCAGTGGAAGGTTAGGGTCCAATAAACATGCATTTACAAGCGCTGCCAGACCAGAACAAACATTCACCTAGTCTAGCTCTTAACAAAGCCTAAAGGCCAAGGTCCTTTCTACCCTCTAGTATCTATCCGGGAGATAACTGATGAGTAGCATAGTCAAAGGCAAATGAATGTCTCCAGGTGTTGAGTATTTCTAAGAATTATATCAAGTTGCTAAACCAGCAAACACACCAGTACCTGGTCAAAATGCTTGCAGATGCTTCCAACCAACCTTTTCAGTTGCTTATCCTGCTCCAGTTTATCACAGTAAGTTGGTGATAGTTGTAGGGCTGACAGTTGGAGGAATGGTCAGGCACAGCATCAGCATGTGATTATGGACGGGCAGAATGACCAGAGATCACCTGAGGCCCTACATCCATGGTAGAACATGAATACAAGAAATCCCTGCCTCTATATGAGCCCATCAATTCACTTGCAGCAATCTTCTGTGGGCATCTGTATGATTGGAAGTGAGGAAGCTATCAGTAAGAGAGAGGACATTTAGACGGTTGTGCCTTTCCCAAATTTTTTTCAAGCATTTCAGATATGCGGTATAGCCTGATTTAAAAGATCACAGTAGGGGAGAGGGGATGTCTGTTATTTCTTCTTGTTGTTGTTGTTAATTGCGAAGTCGTGTCCGACCCATCGCGACCCCATGGACAACGTTCCTCCAGGTCTTCCTGTCCTTTACCATCTTCTGGAGTCCATTTAAGCTCACATCTACTGCTTCAGTGACTCCATCCAGCCATCTCATTCTCTGTCGTCCCTTTCTTCTATTGCCCTCAATCTTTCCTAGCATTAGGCCCTTCTCCAGTGAGTCCTTCCTTCTCATTAGGTGGCCAAAGTATTTGAGTTTCAACTTCAGGATCTGGCCTTCTAAAGAGCAGTCGGGGTTGATCTCTTCTAGGACTGACCGGTTTGAACGCCTTGCAGTCCAGGGGACTTGCAGGAGTCTTCTCCAGCACCATAGTTCAAAGGCCTCAATTCTTTGGCGCTCAGCCTTTCTTATGGTCCAACTTTCACAGCCATACATTGCAACTGGGAAAACCATGGCCTGGGCTATACACACTTTTGTTGGCAGGGTGATGTCTCTCCTTTTTAGTATGCTGTCTAGATTTGCCATAGTAATTGCCTATAACGCCTGGATGAAAATACAATCAGAGTCTCATCTTGCTGACCTATTAAATCCAGACTACATTATATTGCTGATTCTTCTCTGATGTTTGTATTTTGAACTTACTGCAATTATATTAGATTTCAGTACTGTGGAAAACGAAAATATTGGCTATTGTTCTTTTATGCAAGGTTTAGGCCCAGATAAACTGAATCAGGCCTCATGGACAAAGTATTGAAACCAAAGTCTGTGCTATGCTTAATTTTGCAGTTTGCAATTGTATTTTATTTAATATGATTTTGCCAAACTTGCTTGTTTCAAATATATTTAGAACATAAGGACTGGAACAATAGGAAATAGGGAACTGAAAGTAGCTGATGGATGCGGGTTACAATGTACACGGGTGTATGTGGAAAGTTATGTTCAGCAGACGGTCAGCAGGAGGTCAGGCAAAAGTCAGCGGACCATCTGACTAGTCTTAGAACGAGAAAGGGTATAAAGAGTTGGGACTGGACCTGTTTGATTTGCCATTGGCCTATAACTGTCCTTTTGGAATCTGCTATGCTATATGGCCCTCATTGCAATGGGTTATTAATGTAAGCGATGTTGTGTTATTATGCTATGTTCCAAATTATTAGAAAAATAAACCTCTGAATCTTAAAGTAAGAATTATTATTTTGTGTTGCTTGTCTTTTGTCTTTTTCCATGGGGTTTTTCCACGACAGTACCTTTTCTGTAACTAAGTGATTGACGATGTCCCAAGTAATGATACAGGGCATTTTTTAAACAGCAATTAAATTATTTAATGTTAACATTTTAATTACTTTAATTTTAATAATTAAACATTTCAGGAGCTTATGTTAATTGGCACACCGATTGAAAACGACACTTTATGAATCTTGCAAACTTGATTCTAGTCCATAAAAGCTTGTGTCCTAATAAACCTAAGTAGCTTTATAGCTCCTTGTTTGGTTTTGTTTCTTTGTTGCAAGAGAAAAATAAATAGTTGAAATATGCTGGGCAGATTTCTGGGTCAGCCGGAAGATTTGATTCTAGCACTAAGGCTTTGAAATTATTGCTGAACAGAAACAAAAATGTGTTTTGCAGATACGTGGAAGCATTACGAGCCCAGATGCAAGAGAAGATTGACATGTATAATATACATTTGCCTCCTTTGTGCTTCTGTGGGTCAGATTTCTGGGACACTCATCCCGATAGCTGTGCCAACAACTGTATGTTCTACAGAAACCACAAAGGTATCGTATTTGGAAGTCCCCCTTGCTCCATTGCTTTCAGTAGCAGTCCTCCTCATTTGGATTTTATTCAGTATATTCTAAAACAGCTGGTGCAATAGAAGAGGCAACTCAGATGTCACTGTGACAGATATGCAAACTGACATTGAGTGAGATAATATTGCTAATCTGCCATAACTCCGGGAAAGTATTTTTAATTACAGTTTGTGTGAAATATCTTCCTCCATGCTTTTTCTCTTGCAGTTGTCGATATAAGATTTGAAACAAATTCGGCCTCTGCTTCAATTTGAGTGCATTTCAGTTCTGTGAAAGGGAGAGCTCTGAACCTAAGTTACAATTGTAGTAACCAGCTAAAAAAAACGTTGGCAGTTAAATACTACATAAAGAACAGCCAGATTCTGTAGGTGTATGCTATAAGCAAAGTTAGGTCCCAAGATTGCCTGCTGTAATCAGGTATTGCTCATTCAGAGCTTAAAGCAATATTTCTTTTCAAAGCTCCTGAAATAAAGGGCGTAAGACAGTAGGATCCTATACTTCACAATAGAATTTGTTCACACTTAACTTTCATTCTTTGCCTATCCACAGCTGTACATTCTGTTTGGTCACATACAATCCCTGCTGCTTCATACTGTAGTAAATTGTTTTAATTATTGTAAAACCAGGTGGAGGTTTTCTCCTCTGGAGAAACTCCTTTGTATAAAGAACGGTTTTAATTCGTGACTTTGTTTATAATGTGAAGACTTTGAACAGTGATTCTTATGGACAAGCAGTGCAACCTAAAGAAAGAAACCATTTGCTATCAGACTGATAAAACTCATAGCTATGCAGTTAGATAAGAAATTCTCTAAGCTGCCTGGAGTCGGGATGAGTGAGTTGAATGGCCATATAAATTAAATAAATTGCTGTGCTGAGTCAGGTCAAAAATTTGTTCAGACCAGCATCCAGTTACTAACTGACCAACAAGATATGATTGGGAAAAGCAAAAGCCGTGAAAATGGAAGTCCCGCCCCAACTGCAACCTTCCTAAAATTTGGTACATTGACATTTAGAAAAGACATTCTCTAAACCAGGGGTCTTCAAACTTGGCAACTTTAAGACTTGTGGACTTCAACTCGCAGAATTCCTCAGCCATATTTTTTAAAAAACAACGATTAAACCTGTGATAGTATCTTATGATAGTAAAATCCACGAACGTTGTTTGAACTACTACATTGACTGTATAGCCCAGGGGTAGGCAACCCAAAACACTTAAAGAGCCACTTGGACCTGTTTCCCACCAAAGACAAAACACTGGGAGCCGCAAAACCCTTTTGATATCTAAAATGAAGATAACACTGCATATATCCTTTTTTACCTTTATTATAGGTGTGTGTGTTTGTGTGTGTGGGGGGGTATTTGTGTGTATGAGTGTGTGTGTGTGTGTATATATGTATATGTATGTATGTATGTGTGCATATATACACACACACACATACACATACACACACAGGTTAAAAAAAGGATATATGTAGTGTTATCTTCATTTTAGATGTCAAGAGGATCTCTCTCTCTCTCTGTCTCTCTCCCTCCCTCTCTATCTGCCCTTGGTCTACCACTCCTCTTCCCCCACTCTCTTTCTTTCTCTCTCTCTCTCCTCTCTCCCTCCCTCTCTCTCTTTCTCTCTCTCTCTTTCTCCCCCCCCTCTCCTATCTGCTGCTCACCTGGCAAGCTTCAAGCTGTTGTCCAACAAGATCAGGGGTAGGCAACCTCGTCTCTTTTATGACTCATGGACTTCAACTCCCAGAATTCCTGAGTCAGCCTAGCTGGGCTAGCTAGCTCTCTCCTCTCCTGCTTCCTGCTTCCTGCAGAGACGCAGCAAAGGGAGGAGCTCCGCCCAGTAAGCTTTTCAGCTCCTCGGAGAACATGTGAGTACACTCTCTTTTACACATACACACACACACACACACACAAAACACAAACACACACACACAGAGAGAGAGAGAGATTGAAGCAGGGAAGCGCAATTGCCTCTCTCTGTCTCTCTCTCTCTGCAAAGGCAGAGGAGGCTGGGAGCCACAGGGCAAGGCTCAAAGAGCCGCATGCGGCTCCGGAGCCGCAGGTTGCCGACCTGTGGTATAGCCTGTTACATTGTAGAGAACAAAGTGCTTATTTTTTAAGTAGTACATAATTCTCCACCATACTTTTCATTGCTTTTGCCTTTTAAACTCTATATCACAATAAAGCTAATTTCTCTTTCAGCGTATGCTCAAGCTCTGCAAAATGTCATCTCATCTTGCGATATTTTGGACGGGGGCTCAAACACGAGGCTTTCCGTCCATACATTTGCTGTGGTACATGCTCGTTCTAAGAATTCCTGATAGAAAATTATGAAATCGGTGCCTCCTTCTCAACCTTGTCTAGGTGCCTATGAACATATCACTCCTGAATTTTATCCTGGGTTGGATTAAAATAATAAATTCAGAAGGGAAGTCTTCTCACATTTGTTTACTTTTCCAAGACTAATCATCTGTGTTTTGTTTTCGACAAGATACGGATTTGTCAAAATTCTTGGTTATTTGTTCATGGATGGGACACGTTCTTAGATCAATTTTGTGCCCAGCCAGATTTGTATCTGTCAGCTTATCAGACTTGTTGTGCCCAAAGTTTAGGTAGGTTTTGTGCTTTGGGGGTGGGATATGATATTGAGATATATTCTGTCTTGTGTTGGATTTCAAACCAAGATACCTGCTTCCTCCAAGATTTGTAAAATGTAAAGCTTGGTCTTTAGGAAAACTTTTGAAAGGGATTACTCCAAAAGAACAGAACTGTTACTAATCATGACAATGTTTAGTCAGTGTCAAGACATGAAGGAATATTCACATTGAAGAAACTGAGAAGGTAACTCAGTTTCTAGAATAAAATGAATTGAGTCTCTCCTACAGAACTTATTTCTAATTTGATGTTGGCTGTAGACTGAGAGTTTTGTGATTTGCCCATTTGACATAGAACAACTAAGAACCTTGAAGTGACACACATGTCTATGCATTTTTATTATTATTTGGATACATATTTGAACAAGAAATACCTCTGAACTCTTTATATTTAAAAAGTGAAATTTTAAAACTGAGTCTCTGGTGCATGTTGACCAAGAAGGTTGTTATGTCAGCTTGTCCAATTTTAAAGCTTTGCAGATATAAATGTTAGGTAACGTGCAGAGAAACAGTTCTTGATCCCAACATACTCCAATAAAAATGTTTTATGTTTTATATCCAAGTATCTATTGTCAATTCTGCTTATCTGTTGTGAATTCTGGGAATAACAACATATGAAAAAGATTTTCTGCCAAACCATGTCTGCTTCTTGTAAATTGAATTGCATATAAAAATGATGTAGCGATAGAAATTGAGGCGATTATAACATATAATTGCACTTTTAATGTCTATGTGTTTTTCCTGCAACACGTGATGGTATAAAAATAGTTTCAGATGCTATATTCGTTCATTGTTTAACCAAGATTTTTAAATAACAAAATAGTATTGACTTAACAGTGTTCCAAATTGCATTACAGGTGCAAAACCGCTTCCAGTTATTACCACTATAGTTGATAATGTTGGTTACTAGAATCTTGAAAAAAAACAAAATAAGTATTAAATCCTCAATAGTGAAAATATTTGCTACTCTTCTTTTCTCTTCCGTAGATGTATTAGACTTCCAGAATTAATATGCAGGCTTATGGTTTCTTAAAATATCTGTATCATGTTCCACTGATAAAATAGGAAAATAGCATAGATTTTTAAGTCCCCATAAAGCATATTAACTTTATCCTTGGATTTTATTTAAATGGTAGTATTAAAACAGGATTATTAACAGTTAAAAACCTTGCTTCAGTCTAGTTAATGGTTATAGCAAGTCTTTATGTCTTTTCAGATAGTTCATTTCCAAGGGCAGTCTAGTCCTGTAACTTTAGTACCATTTTAAAGCTCAATAACTTTCTAAATGGGTGGAAAAAATACATCTGTATTTAGTTATCTTGGCTTTTTCCTACTAAAGATCTGTACTCTGGTATATATTATACTTTGCAAAAGTTGTATTGGAAACTTACATCTTCACCTATATTTCTATCATAGAATTAGACTGCTGTGTCATTTCTCTAAATTACATTCTTTGTAAGTTAGCACAGAGTGTCGGTAACAATGTAAAAAAATATGATTCTCTATTGAAACAGCTACATTTTAGGTACAATAAAAAGCAAATGCAAGGTAAAACAAGAATGATATCAAATGAGACTCCTGTTCTCCTCAACTCTTAATTTTATTTATTTTTATTGTATTTTTATAATGTTTTACATTTTAAAATTTTTTTTAATCCTAAACTATTCAGTTGTTAATATTTTAATTTATTGCCTGGTCAACAAGACAATAGATTTACCTCTGGGATCCAATTTCATTCAGACTGCTATGGATCTCAAACCAAGAATGTGCAATATGAATTCAGATAAAGCCAGCCATAATACTAGACTGCTTTGAAAGCATGAGCTGGTTCACACAAGAAGCAAAATATAATGGGGTTGGGTTGGAATGGGTGTGTTCTGTGAATCCAGCCCTTGTTTTTTATGGCATGGTGTTTCGGAGGAACATTTTTACAATGTATTTATATTGTATTTTTACCTTGGTTTGGCCACCCAGAGTTACTTTTGTGAGACAGGTGGCCGTATAAATAAATAACATGCTTAAATTTTGGTTGTATGCTATTAGATGGATACATGTGGTAGCAAGGGTCAGAATCTCAAGAATTCAAGAGATGGAAGAACTTTAAACAAAAATAAAAGCTTAGATTTGGCTCATAGCCATACTGAAAAATCTCTGTCTGATTTCTGATGGCTGATTTCCACTGCCTGTACAACATGGTGGACTATGTCAATAATACTATATTGGATCTGGAATGTTTATGCTATAAAATGTGGAATTTATTGGCTGGGTGTCCGCACCCACCCACCCGAATAAATTGCCTTCTCTGTCTCACCTGAAGTAACCTTGGTAGTTAGGACCAGAGCAACTTGAGTTTTTCTCCAACTGTGCAGAAGGTCACTTAATTGTATGATGATGCTGATCAAAGTTAGGTTTTAATCTGCTAATGAGAATGAAATACAGCTATACATCTATAGAAATGTTCCATAGCAGTAAGAATAACCTATGAGCGACTTGAAATGCCTTTGGCTATGTGGATGGAAAGTAGTTTTTTGGCAAACTATTTGCTGTTGGCTTGAAATACTTTTACTACCTCTAGAAACAGACAAAAGTGAAGGTATCTTGCAATGTCTGCTTGGCTTCACCGTTAGAAATGCTGCTGGATAAAAGTGCAAGAATTGCATCTGCACGGTGACATTTGGCTCTCTAAGAATCTGTTACATTGAACAGTTCAGGCTATCATATGAAGCCAATGTATTGATCTGTTAATTATTTTTAGCACGTATTTTATTACGGAATTTTCTTTTACCTAGTTTACCTTGGAACTGGACCTTGTGTTTTATCTTTGATGTAATGGGGTTGTAAGACCTATCAATAAACTATCTACTTAGAACAGTGATGGCGAACCTTTTAGAGACTGAGTGCCCAAACTGCAACCCCAAACCCACTTATGCATCGTCGAGTGCCAGATGGACGTGGCCCATTGGATGTGGTAGTAACAGCAGACTGGGTGGGACTAAAAAGTTCAATCAATCAATTCCAACTTTGCAAGATCTTTTTTTCCCCATGAGAAGTTGAAATTGACTGATTGAACCTTTTTTTTTTTTTTTTTGGCACATGGCGGTGGAGGCCTAAAGCGAAAAGTTTTATAAAAACCAGCTGAAGGCCTAGGACTGGGGCGACGGCGCGCGTGCCCACAGAGAGGGCTCTGAGTGCCGCCTCTGGCACCTGTGCCATAGGTTCGCCACCACTGACTTAGAAAGTCAGTTCCTGGGTTGCAGTCCCCCAATTTCCTTCAGGGTGGCTATTTGGAGCATCTTCTCTCTGTTAGATCTTGTAAAGTAGGGCATCTAAATTCTACCAAGTGACCATCCAGAAAGTAACCAGACTCCAAGTTATAAAGTTATAAAGCTGCCACACAGACCATTGGCAAAAGCATTCAGTCAGCAGGAGTTGTTTATGAGCTTTATTGTCACTCTGCTGACTTTAATGCAGTTTAACCGCCTGGAGTTTCCATTACAGGGGGGAAAAAAAGATAAATTGCAAATTTGAATAGGTAGATAAACACATAGCTTCTGGAAAACATTGGACATACATCTCATTAATATAATGCAATCCTCCTGTGTTTGTGGTTAATCCAGGAAACGGTAATCTCAAATTTGTTCACCTTTGTATAAACTTTGGGAAAATACCCCTTCCCTTTAAGTAACTGCATCCCAATATTAAACAAACAAAAAAAAATACAGTGCAAGTTTTTCCCACAGTGCTTTTATGAAGCTTGTTTTTCTGTTGATTTGTATTTGTGTCGCACCCAACGCAAACCAAAAAAGCATTTGTAACTCTAATGGTATCCTTTAATGCTAATTATTAGCCGATAACTCATGAGTTACTTGCGTCAGCAAGAACAACAAACCCCTAATAAAGCATTTAAGGCATGCCATGATACTTTTTACATGGGGTCTCGCCCTTTGCAAGTCATACACTTCTTTCTGGAGTGGTAACTAATACCTAGATAACAAAGAAAATGAACTTTACTGCGGGTTGGAACCTGCTCAACTTTTAATGAAAAGTAATGAGGAATCTATAATGTTCTAAGAGGTCACCTGTTTCACATATGTTTAGCATAAGATATTCCCAGTAATTGGTCCTACGGGCCTTTCTGAATAGGAGTGAGGTATAAGTGGGTTCCTGCTGACTCTTGCCACTATAAATCAAGGGTCATGGGGCAAACGACTCCTTAGATGTTTCCCCACTCATTTCTCTCTGTGGTTTGTTTTTAAGCTAACCATCTGTTAGCCACCAGGAGGCATAGTTAGACAAATCACAGGCTGCAGAATCTACAGATGATTTTTTACTGTGGCTGTGGATTTGCACAAGAAGGGGAAAATAATGAATTCATGTTTCCAACACAGAAGAGAATAGAATATAGAATATAAAATAATATAGAAAATTAGAATGGAATGGAATGGAACGGAATGGAATAGAATTCTTTATTGGCCAAGTATGATTGGACACAAGGAATTGGTCTCCGGTGCATAAGCTTTCAGTGTACATACAAACAACAAAGTAATACTGGTATAATAACGATACCAATAAGAGAAGATAATAGAAAAGATTAGAAGGCTTATAATAATCCAGCTATACCATTCGGGTAAATATCCTTAGACAAGACAGTACTGTGGGAATTATGCGCTCAGCTGAGCAATGGCACGAGGGAAAATAATATATACAATGTTAAATATATGCAGTGTTGTATGTTAATATATACAGTGTTGTTTGGCAGGTCTAATTGTCCTTGACTTACCATCACAATTGGGAGTAGAATTTCCATTGCTAAGCAAGACAGTTAAATGAGCTGTGCCCAATTGAACAACCCAAATCAACCACAGTTGTTAAGTAAATCATGCACTTGTTAAGTAACCCCCTTTGAATTGCTTGGCATTTTCCTTGGGAAGTTTAAGATGGGTGAACTTCAAATCCCAACTTGCAACACGACTTCCAGCAGGAGTTGAAGCCCATCCATTTTAAACTTGCCAAGGCTGAGGAGGGATGATCACTCCTAGACTCACCCAAACTTAGAAACCATCTGTTGCCCTCTGGACAGTAATTATACTCTTTTGTTTTGCTCATGAGGAAAAATAAAAGGCCTTACTTGAAACTTGTTGATCATTTACAATTGGAGATTCGTCTTTCACCATAATACCGAACAGGTCCTGAGCCAGGCAGAGGAAAAATCATTAGTTTTCTCTATGAGGTATAATCACATTTTATTGCCAACACAAGGAGGATTGGATTGCATGTTCCTATCACCAATAGGAGACTTAAAATATAAGGAAGGGGTTCGTGATGCCATCTTCTGCAATATTTCATACAAATCTTTTAACATCTACTGTTTTCTTTGGTTCAAACATGGCAGAGAGGGAATAAACGTTAATCAAGTTGTACAGTAGCTCCTGTTTGAAGAAACCGTGAGTACCTCTATTGCTGAGAAGCAAAACACAGGGCCAAATTATATTGCCTTCATAATGTTAGTGAGAATTATGCTAACGGATTTTATGACGGTGATTCCTTTAGGTCTCTGGGGCAATGAGTAACAAGTGTCATCGCATTATATAACTTTTTGCCATCACAACAACTAGTTTATTTAAAGAGTTGGAGGAAAGTATAGTTACAAAATGTAACACACATAATTTTATTTGACTGAATAAACATTGTTGCAAAGTTACGCATTTTTTTTTTCACCAGGTCTAAATATTCAAAGCCTTTATGCCAGAGAGTATATTTTAACAGGCAATGAACATGCAATTGCTTTTTTCTGCATATTTTTGAAGGTGAAAAAAACATTTCTCCTCCTTAGATGTGTGCGTGTGTGTGTATTTATATGTGTGTTTGTGTGTGTAGAGTTTTTGTGTTTGTAAAAATTTGTAAAAACCTGTCTAATTACCTAGTAAAAGTCACAATTCCATCTATAAACAGTGATAATTCAGGAGAGTAGGAATTGAGATAAAGCTTCTGTAACAACGTAAACTTTTCTTGAATTCTAAGCAATCCCTAACATTTCCAAAAACAGTTAATATTATAAGATGTATCATATTTTTTTTAATAATTATGTATAATTAACTTAAAATGATGAATAAGCTACAGATAAGTGTGAGAGTTATTTTCCTTCTTTAAACAAATGTTTGTTGTAAAGCATTCATTACCAAATCAGCTGATTTAACTCCTGGGGTGATGAGAATATAGTGAATTAGAAACTGGAACTAGAAGATGACTTTTTAATTTGTTGACAGTTAGCTGATGTTGCTTTAATGTTGCCATAGCTATTGGTAATATAAATCCAACGTATGTTTAGAACCAAAGGTTTTTTTTATCAGCAGTCATTAAAAATGATCATTTAATGCCTTACTGGGCAATCTAAGTCAGGGGTCATTGACTAGGTTTCCTAGAATGAGAAAAGTGGCATTAAAGGTTAATTATCACTTGCTGGCATAAAGCCGCTCTGAAATGTTTGGATAAAAATAATTATCTTACCGAAATGAAAGCGTAATATAATAGAGTAGCCTAGAAAAAGATAAAACACATTCCTTGATTTCTAGTGACAAAGTGCTTCAGATTTACTAAAATCAAAACCCATATTTTTTACCAGTCTTGCGAGAAACACCATCAATGAAATTTCTAATATGAAATATTTCATCTACTTACTGTTAGCCCCCCATCTGGATGTTGAACTACTTATAATTAGGAAGCTTCCTAATAGGATAGTTTCTAGTTCTGAACAATAGTCTTTAAAGGTCCCAATTATTTTTGATAATTAGCAAAGAAACATGGAGGAGTACATAGGCTAACCAAAATGAAAATTTTGTGAAATTCTACATAAAATGCCACAGCAAAGGGTTCATAGGACCCAAAATAAATAATTTCAACATTGAATTTTGTACTAATCAGCTCTTTCACTGACCCTTATGTAGGAGAAGCATTAGGGGGGGAAAAAAACCAGTTTAGGTAGTCCTTGACTTATGGCCACAGTTGAGCGCAAAATTTATGTTGTTAAGTGAGTTACTTGTTAAGTGAGTTTTGCCCCATTTTATGACTTTTATTGCCACAGTTGTTAAGTGAATCATTGCAGTTATTAGTAACTGTTGTTAAGTGAATCTGGCTTCCCCATTGACTTTGCTTGCCAGAAGGTTGAAAAAGGGGATCACATGACAGCCATCATAAATATGTTGCCAAGTTGCCAAGCATCCGAATTTTGATTGTGTGACCGTGGGGATGCTGCAACAAGCGCTGTTAATATTTTAAAAACAC